TGTAAGAACCAATTGGGTCGGGTAGATGGCTCAGTAGAATAAGCACTTGGCTGGCAAGTGCAAGGGTCTGAGTTCAATCCCCAGTTCCACAAAAACAACAACAACAACAAAAAAAAAAAAAAGACCGCCATGTACTCTGCTTCTGTATCCTGCCCACTTACAAGCTCCTTATAAGCCCTAGGCCAGCAGACATCAGGGCCTGACTTTATTTTCTTGGGATCAGTGCCCATCAACATTAAACAAACCTGCCTCCAAATCCTGGATGACTTTTTGGTGTTTCTGTTTGTCATTGAAAAGGTGCTGGTGATACAGGGAAACCTCCAAATGACACAGGGAGAAGAACTGATCTCTCAACCTAAAAGGCACCTGGGACGAGTTCATGTTCTCTAAAACCGAAGAATGAATTTTAGGAACAAATGGAAGTTATGAGCAGAATATATTTATTGAGAGAAAGAAAGCTTCTGTCCAAGAGAGGGACAGGAGGGGGGCCTGAGCGGGTTGTTTCCGGAAAGCTGTCTCTTCCAGAGACTTTTATAGAGGAAAACCATAAGGTGAGGTGGGTCTAGGTGGTGGAGAAGACATAAGAACTCACTTAGGTGGGCATGAAGTAGAACAAAACGATGGTCAACCAATGAGATTGTTGTAGGCAGCCGAGTTAGACAGAAATATTATAGGCAGTCAGACAGGGCCAGGCCCTCAAGGAGACAAGATGGAAGACGAGGTGACTTTGCAACTTGGAAGAGCCAGACACTCCCATATGGGCCACACCTCAAGACCAAGACAAAAAGAGGAAGCACAGCTTCATACTTCCCTAGGGATGGGCATTAGGGATTGATATCCTAAATAGTATCAATCAACTTGAAAGAGCCCAAATGAGTCATTAGCCCAACCCCCAACGGGAAGAGACCCTGTTCCGTATTTGTGCCCGCTTGCTACATGACTCACTTTCCCATTGGATACTGGATTTAGTCAAGTTTACCTGAGCAATGGTGCTTGTAATCTCATTGGTTGACCATAGTTCAGTCCCACCTCATGCCCAACTAAGCAAGTTCCCATGTCTTCTCCACCACCTTAGACCCACCTTACCACATGGTTTTCCTCTGTAAAAGTCCCTGCAAGAGACAACTTCCAGGGGGGAACTACCCGCTCGGACCCCCCACCAGGGGGCGGGGCTGGCTGGCATGTGGTGCTGGGGGATTGAACCGTGGTCCCTGTGCTTTGCTAAGCTTGTTCTAAGTAGGTGCTTTAGAACACTGAGCCATCTCACCAGCCCCTAGTTTTGTGTTTAAAAAGCTTCAATGACACATGCTCATAGAAGCCTCTCTCAGTGGTCT